TGGGTAGCGGCCAGCAGCCTCGGGGGTGGTTTTTGGGGCGATTTTCCCTGCTGTAAAAACGCAAACAGCTTGGGTTCTCGGCGTTCGACGACTACCGACTTCTGTTCAAGGCCCGATTTACGCTACCGACTCTATCCAAAACAGATCTAAGTCATTTACACCTAAACGAAGTCGATCTCGTGGTAACAGACTTTCGAAACCCCCTTGGAATGTTTTCCCATGGCTAAAAATCGGAAATAACTTGCTATCCTTATTGTTTTATGATATAGGTGTTGAAAATACTCAAGGACTAAGAGCGTGGTAGTGTGTAAGTAGTAATACAGGCGGGTGTGTGCGTTTATGAACTGTTGAAAATGTCTTTTGGTTATTGGGTTATCAAAATGCATATTTTATATCGTTATGATTACTTGATGTGTTAGTTAGGAATCATTGAATGAATACTCTGAAATTGGCCATTCGTGACAGCGTTACGTTGGTGGAGTAGATTGGATGAAATTGTTTATTTTTCTTTTGTCAGATGTGTATTATAGTTACCTGTTGAAAGGTTCTGTTTAAAAGCTGTGCGAGTTGTATCTATCTTTATCACTTGTGTAAAGCATGTTGAAAATGTCTGCGAGTGTTGCTATTTATCGTACAAGAGCCATTACGTGTGCGTTTTCCCTATTATGTGAGCATGCTACTGGTTGTTAAATGTTGTGTATAAGAACTTTATGCGTTAAAAATCATGCAGGACAATAGGTTGTGCTAGGACATTAAAAGGTGAAATTATGAGGCATAGTATTGGAAATCTTGGTTGAAGACAAGGGGTGGGGTGGGATGTTATGAAAGAAAACACCACGAGTGATAGGGCCGGGTGCAAAGGTCGGAAACTGTTATGGTACTACTGGGTGTCGAGGCTCCAGGTAGAAAGGTTGGGGGTCAATACGCCAGTCTCAGTACGGACGAGTGTCGAGGCCCCGGGTACAAAGGTCGGAGGTCGGCATGAAGAAAGAAATCGTTGGATTAACACTGCTAGTTGGGTGTCGGGTTCTGGGTACAAAGGACGGGAGTCGACACGCCAACTTGGTTAAAATGGGTTTCAAGGCTCCGGGTACAAAGGTCGGAGATCAATACGTGAAGATGAGCGTCGAAGCCTTGGGTACAAAGGTCAAGGGTCGAACGCTAAGTTATGTAAATGAGTATCGGGACCTTGGGTACAAAGGTCAAGGGTTCGATACTAAGCGAAATGTGGTGACAAAGTTTAGAGGGTGTTTGAGGATAGGCAGACACCTACCGGCTAAGAGATGTGGGTTGTGATAGTTTAATGCTCGTTGTATGTTACCAACCTTTATAATTTGTTGATTTCTTGAAATTCCAGTCATTATGTCATTTTTTGTATATCATGTGATAGTATGCTGGTGCTGTGTAGTTAGTGAGGATTACTTACAGAGTATTTTATATACTCACCCCCTCTGCAATTATTGTTTTCAGGTAAAGATCCGTGTTATGACCATGGTGGTGACGTGGAGAGGGCCCGACTGAGGAAGGTTCTTTTTTTTTTTTTTGTTATTTGTTATTTCACCTTATACTGTCAGGATAGTGGAAGTTTTCTTTTCGTTTCAGACATTCTAGTAGAGCGATGTTTAGGTGTGGCCTTGGTGGCGTGGTCCGATGTGCTTGAACATTTTTATTGTTTTTGAGTCGATGCTTTTCTTTTGATATTTAGAAATTTACGAGTGTTGGTAATGGAATTAATAGGATTTTATGTTTTGGTTAGCCCACAGAGGGCGAGTTGACTTCTTTGATTATTGGAGAACTTTTGGACTTTTTTGACCATGTTGGCTTCCATTGTGTGTAAAAGGGAGGGTCGATGCATGTAGTTGGGTAAAGTTACACCGAGTGTACTATAGAAATTCAGGGGAGTTACAAGCCTACTAAGGGTTGTCGAGACCCTCCAAAATAATTACCGATTTTACTAAATCTAACTTGTAGAAGTAGTGAGACTAGGTCGAATCCCAAGGGAACCAATGAAATTAATTTCTCAAAGTAAAAAAATTGGGGTTTTGAATTAAATTTATAAATTTAAATAGATAAACTAAAAGGAAAACGAAAGTCAATCTTATTAAACGTCCAATTAAATGGTGTGATCTTCATTCAGTCGTAATCTTGATCATGGGCTTTACACAAAATTAGTTTCTTGATTCAAGAACTTAGTCTACTTACTCGGAACAGTCGTGATAAGATTTAATTCTCCTAATTTAATTAATTTAGACTAAGCATAAAAATTAAATCTTATTAATTAATCAGTTGGGTACGATAGCATTCTATATTAATCAAAGAATAGCATTAAAGATAATGAGAATGACTAAACCAAAATTAGATTTTTGTCATCTTTCAAAAACTTTTGCATCTTTTTCATGCTTTAGACTCAGTATGTTTTGATTCATATATGTTGTTTCCTCCAACTCCGTGTGTATTGATTCATATATGTCGCTTCCTCCTTTTGAAACCTTGATATTTTGATAAATACCCTTGAATACTTTTTATGTTAAGAATGCATATTTGATTTGAATTTTTTATGCATGAAAGTTGATGAGCATGATTAGTATTTTTCTTTAAAGAGTTTAGGATAATATTTCATTGATTTGTTATTGAAAAATGCACCGGACTTGATGCAATATACGCACCCAAGTGAGTTTTTTGAGCCTTTGAGCAACACATTACATCTTGC